GTCACAATGTGCAATAGCTGTTCACGGGAAGGTACAGAAAGTTTGGTGACGATCGGCGCAGTGGTTCTGGAGATATATCGAAAAAAAACTAAAGGGGGGGGGGGCAAAAAATGCCCCCCACCGCCTGGAAGGTTGAAGTACAGGGTGTCCGGAAATAATTTGCCGCTTGTTCATTCAGCTTTGACGTTCTTTCGAATGCCGCTTACCGCGTGTCGCTACGTGGCCCAGGAGCCGAGTTGGATGGGGAGGGGGGGGGGTGTTCAGACACCCCCGACCCGGCGCGGAAGTTGAGGAGCATCGGCCTGGCGCGGGTTAAAACACTTGTCCAGTAGTGTCAGAGTGCCGAATTTGGTGTGCCTAGGTCGAAGATTTCCGAAATTGGAGAATGCCTCCTGAAAACATATTTTTCGCCACTAGCACGTGCATTTCGCACCCCCGTAACGAGCACACCATATCCCGCGCTGGGGGGGGGGGGGGCGTTTTTCGCCAATAACTTCTAAACGCGTTACGCCAGCGACGTCAAACTTTGAGCGCCTTATCATACATCAATTTAAGACGTTTCCTGAAAATTGGAGCGAAATCCGTCAGACAATTTTTGAGAAAATGACGTTTTAGTGACTTCATGTTCGCCATTTTCGCCTCAAAAACGGCAAAATTTCAAACGCCGCTAACATCTTCATTTTTAAAGGAATCAAGACTTAACAAGAAAAGGTTACACGTGATTCTACTTTGTCTATCAAATGGCTATCTGGGTTTTTTGAAAATTTTGGAGTTAGGCCCATTTTTTTTCTTAAAAAACTGACTTTTGAGAAAATAATAAAAAAAATCCAAAATTTTGAGTGTATCGTAAAAACCAGAATATATGTCAGAGAAGTGGGCTATGTGCACCTACATACCAATTTTTAGAAGAATCGGTTCAAAAATGTGGGAGTTATTTAAAATTTCATGACGTCACGACACATAACATTTTTGAAAAATGATTTTTTTTTAAGTTCTAGACCTCGTACGGAAACAAAAATAGCACCATTCGATTTGCCGTGAAAAGCTGCATCAGATAGACAGCTTTTTAGGCCTTAACAACCAACTTCAAAATTTGACCTCACTTGACCTCACCTTGACCTGACCTCGACCTGAAATTCATCCAGAGATGGTCCATATCACTTATTGAGTGTGCCTATTGAATTCTATGAATAAAATGACCCATAAAACACGTGTCGCACATGTCCTTTTCTATATTTTGTTTTTGGTGACCTGACCTGACCTGACCTGACCTTGACATTGACCTTTGAATGATATTGTATGCAATGAATATTGTCTTGGTAGCCTAAGATGACGTTTTGGGCGATCAGTCTCAGTCCATTCTTCGTCGACTACGGTGCAAGGCCGATACTGTAGAAACTTGCATTTTGTACCCTTGACCTGGCCTTGACCTGACCTCCGACCTATATAAGCAAAAAAAAATTGGGCTCTTAACCCTCGCCGGACCTATTGGTTTTCTACATACGCGCCGGCCGAGGGGGGGGGGGGGGGGGCGGGTACGATCTCCCTCGCCGTTTCGCCCCTGGTGGAGCTAGCGCGTCACAGAAAAAACGAGCGTGTGCGCCGTTACGAGACGCAGAGATTGGTACCCGATTTTAAGGTCCTAGGTCAACCGGTGACCTCTGAGGTCAGGTCAAATGCCCCAAGGAACGGTTCAGTTTTTGGTGAATAACTTCGCCAAAAACGGACGCAGAGCCGCGATTTTGGCAGCATTGTGTTCGCCTCGATCAGGCGCGTCGAATGATATATTTTTTGTTCGGGTCAGGTCAACTTAAGGTGTTGACCTCAGGTCAAGGTCAGGTCAGCACCCCCAGGTCACGAAGTTGGTCGAAAGAGGTCATGTCGCATATCATTCGATTCGGCAGGTCTTCCTGAGTCCATTGGTGGCTTTCCCGACTCGATAGCTTAATTTGATCGGGAGGTATTGACGAAAAACTAATATGACCTTGATGACGTCATAAATGACGTCACGCAAGGTCAACATCGCAAAAGTGACGCATCTAACTTTGCAAGGAGTGCATCAAATCACGATTCTGTGTGCTTGAGATAGTTGGAGATCGTTCCCGGCGCCAGAATAGCAGTTTTAATTTTTTCCCATTGACTTAGTATATGGTGAGGTCACGAAAATGACCTGACCTCATATGACCTTTAGGAAAAATCCGAGATATAGAAGTTGCCAGACTCGTAAAGGATATTAGACCCTGCAGGTTTCATTTCCCTGTGAAAGCTGTTCTGGCAGTGAGGGCGTTGCGAAGTTGCGACATCTGAAGACCGTGCAGAGGTTCAATTATGACGCCATAGGTCAGTGACCTGACCTGACCCAAAAATGCGGTTGGTGTCAAAAGATCCGGCTTGAATCAAAGGTCAGGTATGCCAAGTTTCAGCTCTCTATCGCCAGCGTGTTCGGAGCTATCGCAAAAAAACCTATGGGGGGGGCAGCACCCCCCTCGGCCGGCGAGGGTTAAGATTTGCCTTGTTGAGAGCTTTCGATTGCCGTTTTCCCCGTCTTCCTTTCTACGACCATCGGTTCGGAAGTTAGACAGGGGGGGGGGGGCAGAATCTGCCCCCCCCCCCCCCAGCAGGTCGCGTATGGCTGAATAGCCCAGCGGGGCGCGGAATATGTTAGTGGCCGAGCACCGGGACATGTGACCTGCAGACTTGGCGCCTGTGCTTCCCTCCGTTTGACTTGAAGCGTCGCTGAAAGATTTTTGCCTTTCCTGAGTTTGTCGGCACTTCTATAGAGCCTTGGTCGGCACGTGGCACGCGCCACGTGACACTGGGTGATCTGAGGCATGCACCCTCACCTGCCTCAAGGCATTACGCGTCGAACGGTGCCACCAGCATCTCGATCCGATCATCCGTTTAGACGCAATTCCAATTGTATTGGCTCGATGACGTTTCAGAACACGTTTTTTTTTTTGACAACGCAAGATGGCGCCTTGTCGGCTTCACTATCTTCTATAGGAGGAGCATTGGGATTGTCAGTCCAGTTTATTTACACGTCCGTGTCCTTGTCTCTGGCTCTGCTATACAGTTACTACATAACAGAAATGCATAGAAATGCATAAAAAAATTTGCTGTTCGCTGGTTGCCGAACATAACGAAGTACATGGCGAGCAGCACATGAGGTAAAACACCCCACGGGGCTCTTAACCACCCGACCTACTGGGCCGTTTTACCCAACCGCGTAGTTCGGTCAGAGAACAACGCCTTACGCTCAAGCCAGATAACCTTAACACGAGCCAACCCGGCACTCACAACATCGAAAAATGCTTTAATTCGGAGATATGGAATTTCAAACTTGCAGTTTTCGGATTCTAAGGGGCTAATGCATTGGAATGCCCCCTTAGAATTTGTGACGTCAGCGGATATCTAACGATTTTTAAATCTTAGATTAAAACCATCGTTAACACGTGGTGGTATACAGTGCTTTGCGTGCAACGTCTGCCTCACTTCGAGGCTGCCAAATTATTGCTTCTAAATAAGTCGCTATGAACAGCGGAGATCCCAAAATGCAAACAAAAGTAAAAGCCCAATATCTTGAAAACCAGTGAATATTTTCTGGTGAAATTTGGTAGATATTCGTTTTTGATCTTTCCGAACCAAGGGACATCACTTTTATGCCAATTCATTAACTTTTTGAAGATAGGAGGGTCCCTTTAAGGCCTGGCTACACTATCCGTTTTATGCCTGCGTTTTTTCGGGTTTGCGTGTTTTGCGTAATATCGTTCTAGAATAAAAAACGATATTACGTTTATGTGACGCTTTTCATATAAGATTTTAGTTGATATAAGAGATATATTAGCTTTTGTGCATAACTTATGCACAAGTCACAAGTAATGTAAAAGTTATATTATTTATAAGCTTTTTTTCTAGAACGATATTACGCAAAAAACGCAAACCCGAAAAAACGCACGCAGAAAACGCATAGTGTAGCTGCACTGCTAGGCCTTTAGACAATATTTGTTCAGAATAGGTAGTCGTCAAGCTGATACCATGTAACCATAACAGAACGCCTTAATGCAATATCAGGCGACAAAATATAAAAAACTCATAAAACACATTCTTGGCTATATCTCCAAAAAAAGTCATCACAAGTTCTTTTAAGTCTGCTCATATAATGATCATATAGTGCACTTTAAGAGCAGAAGATCTTTGTTCAGAGCTTTACCATTGCCGAGAGACGTCGGTGAGGCGTTTTATCTCGGCCCATTTTTCTGGTCCTGCCCCGGGCCTTTGCTTTTCAATTGTATAACTCAAACAATTGTAAATACAAGTTTTTAGTGAAAGAAGCCTCTGATTGTTTTTCTTCATGTGCTTTTTATATAAATAACTCTTCCCGAAAAAAAACTTATTGGGAGGCAAATGAAGCTCTTTGCACAGCATTACTGTCCCCAAAAAGGAAATTGTAAATGGCTCAATGCCCTATTTTCGAGAAGTTTCAATTTCAACGAATAAGCTGCAGCATTGGGACGGGTCAAGCGCTGACCAAAGGGCGGGGGAGGGCATATCAAGCGTTTTACACTGGCAGGGGTCGGGCCAAGCGCTTTTCCGGGTCAGCGATCATGTCAAACGCTGCTGCGTGGCAGCGATCAGATCAAACACTGTTTAGCGGCTGGGTGAGGTGAAGGTCAAACAGTGCCCAGTGGCAGAGGGTCAGCCACTGGCTAGTCACTGTTGGTGGTCCGATCACACACTATCCGGGCAGGGCAGGGGTCAGACAGAGCTTAGCGGCACAGGTGAAATCAAACAGTTGTTAGCAGCAAGAGTGCAGCCGAGCATTGCCCGATGGATGGGTCCGGTCAATCGCGGTCTCCTGGCGGGGTCCGGTCAATCGCGGTCTCCTGGCGGGGTCCGGTCAATCGCTGTCTCCTGGCGGGGTCCGGTCAAAAGGTCAAATACTGCCGGCAGTGGCGGCCGTTAGGCTGAGCGCTGTCCGATGCCGGGTGTGTGCGACTCACCAGTCGGCGGCACGAACGCAAACAGCACCTTCCAGAACACAGTGATGAAGTGTAGCACGTAGTCGGCGCAGCCGGGCATCCGCGCGCCGGCCGCGCCCGCCTCCTTGGCCTCGTCGCCGCCGTCGTCGTCCCCTGCAGGGCAATGCCACAGGTCAGGAAACATGCTGCCTAGTTCAACATTTTCCAAATCACCGGCACATAAATCGAGAACAAATACAGCTAAAGCGCTGCGGAAAAGCGCATTCGATAGCTCTTTTAACCATCTTTCTGGTATGTGCCTTCCGATTTGACCTCAGATCAACGGTTTAGCATCCAGAGGGCAAATACTAAAAATATAGTGGTTTTTACGAAAAAATGTTTGTCAATAACTTGACTCAAGAGAGTCGCGACATCACTTTTGCCAGCATCGGGTTCCACTTGTCGATACGCGTCGAATTTATTATAATCTGAACTTGAAAGGTCAACTTGAAAATTTGGCCTTATGTCAAGGTCATGGCCTAACCGCTCACCCTCTATGGGTGCCACTGTATTTCTGGCTTGGTTTTTGGGGAGATTGATAGTTTTTCGATTCTTTATTTGTAGTGAGCATCTTGGCAAACCATTGAAAAAAAAACACGCTGATGGGGAACTCGTCCCGATTAGCGAACGGGGAAGGTCGCTAATAAGTCAATGGGTTTAGGGGAGAGTGGGGCACATTCGTGCAAAAATGGATAAATCCATACCTATATCTGTTCTTTGGTTGGTGCAAGGGTAAAACTGTTGATTGTAGCATTAAAAGGAACTATTACAGATATTTTGCCTCTTTAAAAGTTTTCCTCTAAAATTATCGCGTCTCTTAGGAAAAATGACTTTTAACAACACTGAACGTTTGCACGAAACTGCCCCAGGTATGGAGCACTTCCGTGCACCCTGCAAAGTTCGAGGAATTACCGAGCATTACCAGAAATTTACCAAAAGAAATTGGCAGGGGGTCATTTCACTAGATTCCCTTCGACAATAATGCATTGCACAACAACTGTAAGAAAGAATTGGCTGGCAACGAGAATGTGCCAACTGCCGGCCATCGACCTGCCTCCATGACCTCGCCGAGGTCGCGTGAATTACTTGTCACGACGTCGCAAGCAGCCGAGACTGAGTCAAGCGAGCGTCATAAGTGAAACCTACTACAGATAAAGTCATAAATCGCAAAAACGAAAAAAAAAATGCACGAATGTGCCCCTAGGCAGTTCGTGCACGAGCCTGCCCCACAACGGTAATTGTACCTAATATATTTCAAAATTTCTTGTTGGAAAATGACATTTTTTCAACAAACAATTTTGCAGCAGTTCCGTGAATAGAGTGAGCTTCTTCGCCGCCAATTTAAAAAAGCTGAACCACATTTCAGAGTCAGGATCACGAAAATGGATGTTATGGAAAAGGTTTGGAAAGTGCACGAATAATACAACTTTGCGTTTTTATCAAGCATGATAACAGAAACATTGTTGTTTTCTACACTGAACGAAGGGCGACAATGATAGACATATTTTCATAATTTACTTCGAGCTCGGGCAGTCACTCATGTTCCCATAAACTGCTGAAAACGAATGTACCCCATGCACGAAAGTGCCCCACTCTCCCCTACATGTGAGTTTCTGTAAGGAACGAGCTCTACTCAGCCACACATATCTCATCTCATATATTTAACACATTCATTCAAAACAAACAATCGGTGTCACCTCGATTGGCGCAAAAGTGGCGCAAAAGTGCCGGAGCACTTAACTCGGGGCGCCTCTCGAGTACTTACAATCGCGCTGGGTGCCGCTCACAGCCTTACAGCCGCTGCCCGCCACCGCGCAGGCCGCTCCCAATAGAAGTACTCGTAAAGGCGCCGGCGCCAGGGGCAGCGCTCTGTGACGACCGGTGTCAAAGGATTGGGCGTTAGGAATAGGTGGCAGGATGGGAAGGAGAAGCAAAGCGTTTGGTGGCATAGATGAATTGGTACACCGCCCGTGCTACCTCGAATTCGTCCTTGGGTCGTACCGTATTACCGTGTAGTATGATGTCTAATTGCTCCTTGTGTGACTAAATTGTGTATGTCAATGCCTGTTATACCATTTATTATCTTTGTCATTCTTTCTCTTTCTTGTGTGTATTTTGGACGTTTTAGTAAGTAATGTCCCATGTCCTCGTTAATTCTGCCTTGACAGTGGTTGCGATGTGGGATTCAGTTTTTTATTTTGAAATAAATGGGACTTTAACTCTGATATCCCAACCCTCAGACGAGTTAGAAGTGTGTTTTCCATTTTCGAACCATATATGTAATACTTTGGTTGTTTTTCTACATTTAAGTGAGACTTGAGATGTTTTTTAAAAGTGAGTAAAGTTCTGGTCTCCCTCAAGTTCTCTGGCAGATCATTTATTACTTTAATTGTACTAGGAAGAAACGAGTTTTTCAATGGACAGGTTTTGGGATAGTTTATTGTTAGAGTTTTTATTGTGAGAGTTACGAAGTGGTCGGTTGTTATTTCTTCCATCAGGGGGCAATAGTTCTTTGATATATGTTGGAGTATCGTCGAGCGTCAGTCGTTGGAAAAATACAATCTTATGCATTTCACGTCTTTTCTTTAATGAAGTCCATACTAGTTCTCGTCTGAGATTGTCTGTCGGAGTTCTAAATAATGTCGCAGTCACAAGTCTGGCCCCTCTGTTCTGAAGTATTTCAAGTCGTAAAGTATCGTGTACTGTTTTTTTTGTGCCCGACCCGGGCTTTTTTTGTCGTTAATAGCACACATTCATACTGGGTTAGTACATTATATACAGGGAGTATGAGAAATCAGTTAGTTTGCAAACTCCCTAGGTAGTTTGCAAAGCCCCTAGTTTGCAAACTCCCTAGGATTGTTGCAAACTACCTAGGTTAAAATACGAGTACAATATGTAGATAAGATGCCTTTTATGTCTTCATCATTTTTCTGTATCTTCAAAGCTGTAGGCGTGACAGCTCTTCTCGCGAAGCTCTTTTTTTTGTCGAAAATGGCAGAACATGACGTCATTCTGAGTTCCGACTTCATTTGTGGCCAACCTATTATAGCCTCTGGATTTTTTTTTTTTTGCCACAATGTGTAAAATTGATACCCGGAGAAGTCCTGAAAGTTTGGCGGCGATAGCTGCAGCCGTTTAGGAGATATTGACGGAAAAGGACAGGAGGGCGTTTCGCCCCCCCCCCCCGTTTCCTACGAAGCACGGGTTAGAAAGCAGGATGTCATCTTTAGTCAACCCAACTTCCACCCGATCCTGGTAGCCAGCAGTCGACTGCCCTGAGCTTGACAGGTCAGGTCAGTGTGTGCTTGCGGGATACGGATGAAAGGCGCTGTCGGGTCACGGCTGGTGGACGGTGCTCAGTGCAGGCGGGTCGTAATTCCAATGGAATTTTCGCAATTCCAAAATTTTCGGTTCCGATGGACACCACTAATCCCTACCTACGAGGTGAGCATGGCGGCGACCATCTTACCTGCCGAAACTGTCACCGCCTCGATGAACTGTTCCTTCCAAGAGGACGTGCTGACCAGGAACGACGCGTTGGCCCGCTGCACCAGCTTGTCGACGGTGTTCTGCAACACAACGCCGGCCGTCGGCGACCATTGACACCACAGCACAGTGTCACGGCATTGGCACACAACCACAAAAGCGCGGTCGTTCACAAAAAGTCAGACACCGACTCAACCTACCAGCACATGAGCACTGATAGCGATACCGACACCGATTCTAACACGGACACCGACACTGACACGGACACCGACACGGACACAGACATAACTATACACAGACACCGACACACAGACACACCGACACCGACACGGACACAGACACCGACACTGACACGGACACAGACATATACACAGACACCGACACCGACACCGACACCGATACGGACATGGACACCGATACGGACACTGACACCGATACGGACACTGACGTCTGACACGGACACGGACACCGATACGGACATGGACACCGATACGGACACCGACACTGACACCGACACGGACACGGACACGGACACAGACACCGATACGGACACTGGCAATGACACGGACACAGACACGGACACGGACACGGACACGGACACCGATACGGACATGGACACCGACACGGACACTGACACGGACACAGACACCGACACGGACACGGACACCGATACGGACATGGACACCGACACTGACACCGACACAGACACACAGACACACCGACACCGACACCGACACGGACACACCGACACTGACACTGACACGGACACAGACATATACACAGACACCGACACACAGACACACCGACACTGACACGGCCACCGACACTGACACGGACACCGACACTGACACGGACACAGACACCGACACTGACACGGACACGGACACGGACACGGACACCGACACTGGCACTGACACGGACACGGACACACCGACACTGACACCGACACGGACACAGACACACCGACACTGACACCGACACTGACAGACACTGACACGGACACTGACACGGACACCGACACCGACACGGACACGGACACTGACACTGACACTGGCACGGACACAGACACACAAACACTGAAACTGACACCGACACACTGGCACCGACACCGACACGGACACCGACACCGACACAGACATATACACAAACACTGATACACAGACACACCGACACCGACACGGACATATACACCGACACCGACACAGACACTGACACCGACACTAGCACTGACACGGACATAGACACCGACACTGAAACTGACACCGACACACTGACACTGACACTGTCACTGACACCGGCACACTTACACCGACACTGACACTGACACCGGCACACTTACACCGACACTGACACTGACACTGACACCGCCACCGCTACCAGCACCGGCACCGTTGTCGACGGGACCTACCATACGACCTTGCTCGCGCCCGGCTCACCGCGGATAATTTGAGCTGAAAGTTGAACGTGCCGCAGTTAGATAGATGCCACCACGGTCGTCCCGGGTCTAGCGTGTCCTCCTCTCGCCAGTTATCAGCTGGCTAAGAACGGGGTCAAACGACGTGGAGCTTCCCGGCCGTGAACTCGCTGTCACCGATTAGGATGACAGCGACTACTAGGATTCATACATACGCTTTATACACTAGGCGACACTAGACACTATAGTATGCATGACGCTGGGCGACACTAGGCCAATAGTCATCGCTCCACTGCCAACTACATAGATTCGCTTGGCGACGGTGCGCGCGCTAGCCTATCGAAAAGGCTGCGGGCTCCACGCAGTGGTCCTGGGCCACTCACACGGGGGGGGGGAGGTAGGGGGTAGGGGGGGGTTCAATGTCACACATACGGACGCTGGGACGAAGCCGCGCAGAGGCGGCAGGGGCAGTGGACAGCGCGCTCACCTTAAACTCCTTGCTCTCCTTGACCCTGATTTGTGCGCGCACGGCGTCTCCGAGCCGCGGCCGGCCGAGCAGCGCCACACGCTGCTGGTCGGTCAGCTCCGCCGCCGGCCGGCGCTGCAAATCCAGCACGGCGCCTGCGTCCGCTGTCAGCGGCGGCACGGGGAGCGTCAGCGGCGCCACGGGGAGCGTCAGCGGCGCCACGGGGAGCGTCAGCGGCGCCACGGGGAGCGTCAGCGGCGGCACGGGGAGCGTCCGCGGCGGCACGGGGACACAAGAGAAAAACTACACGATCCTTTCATTCCATACAGCTTATGTTACACAATTTTGAAACTCGGTGTATTGCATGAGGGCATCAGTGCAAACAATTTACATATTTCGTTTTTTCTCTGTGACCTGTGAGTGACCAGATCAAGTTCGTGATCTCACCATTGCAAAACAATAGAGGAAAAGTAAAAATGACCCCTGCATAGAACAAATGCGTCAAAACCACAAGATCTGTTCGGAGCATTGCTCAAGAACAGCGTCTAAGAACAGCGTCACAATATCAAAACCACCGTCGAATGTGTCAAAAGCCGAAAACCAGGGGATTGGGATACTGGATCTAAAACTGTGGTTTCATCACATAGCGGTAAGAATGGACATCTCCCATGAGCGAGCTGGCGACATTCTGACTAATGCGTATGACATGAGAAAGGTGTCTGCTTCTTGAGTCTCGTTCGTTTGCCCCAGGCGGAAAAGAACGCGACAAAACACGAGTAGGTACTAAAATGTGAGGTTGTTTGAAGCAGACTTTGGAAATTTCAAGTAGTTGCGTCGGACAGAAGCTCGCCACATCGGCATTTGGCAGCGGCAGAGTTGGCCCCTCTAAGTGATCCCACTCAGCAGCGGATTCGCGACAGTGATTCTCCTGTGCCCAGTACAAATCTGCGGTATTGGCCCAAATCTGCTGCTGGTAGACGGACATACGGCGAATCCGCCGTCACCAGCAGCATATTCGGGCTGGCCAAGGACTGGCTAATAGCAGCGGATTCGCGAGCATCAATCTGCTGCTAGACTGACGAACATAGCGTAGCTCCTATTGCATCTCTACAGGCGGCGGCGGCGGCGGCGGCGGCGCAAGGGGGCAGCGCCCACACTCGCTGCAACCTCTGGATCCTGCCACAAAGGAGAGCGGACCACGCCGCCGCCGCCGGCCGGCGCAGGCAGCGGCGGGCGCCAGAGCCACTTACGCAGACGGCCGGTGAGCGTCCCCGGGGGCCCAGCCGGCGCCGCACAGAGCACGTGAAGCGGAATCAGTGGGCGGTACAGCGAGCGGCCTCAGCACGGCGGAATCAGTGGGCGGTACAGCGAGCGGCCTCAGCACGGCGGAATCAGTGGGCGGTACAGCGAGCGGCCTCAGCACGTGAAGCGCAATCAGTGGGCGGTACAGCGAGCGGCCTCAGCACGGCGGAATCAGTGGGCGGTACATACAGCGAGCGGCCTCAGCACGGCGGAATCAGTGGGCGGTACAGCGAGCGGCCTCAGCACGGCGCAGCACAGCAGTTCGGTCCCCCGACAATACCAGCCCGCAGCCACTCGCACCGAGTCCATAGCTAGATACGCATCTCCGCTAGCTCGCTCTACTACATACACGTCCGTCGTTTCCATCCTCAGGATACTGAAATCCTTCTCCTCCACGCCGCAACCCCCACTCCGGGCTGGACAGGCAACTTTATCCCATGCTGGCTGCTTGGAGCATGTCCCATGCGGACATGCTCCAAGCAGCGGTCCCTTGGAGCGGCAACGCTGCTCCCGAGGGAGCACACCCGTGGCCGGGTGCAATGAGTACCTTGGGGCTGGTCGTCCTGTCCTTCGGAGCGGGCTCAGCCCCGGTGACTCACTAGGGTGCCCGCCCAGACCAATGTCTCCCCCTAGTTCCTATCATCCCTCCGGCCCTGAACTGGTGTAAATAGACCGCAAGGGCCTAACCCAACAAAAGAAGACTCGCTCTACGTTTCTCCATGATCACGAGGGTCGACGGTCTCGTTAGCGGATAGGAAGCGGGCCTCCATCGTCTACTAGAGCTGCGGGAAGTCGCCCATCCCGGCACACCCACCTGAGAGGAAGCGAGGCTCCCCGAGCTCCACATAGAAGAGCACGTCCTTTTCGTAGCTGTCCTCCTCGATAATGGGTATGTTGATGTACTGCCTGTGGACAGGACAGCGAATCAGTTGAACTGGACAAAGAATCAGCAGCCAGCCACATTCGGCAGTAACCGTGACAGCGCGGCGCACAGGACCACATTGGACCGTGACAGCACGGCACACAGGACCACATTGGACCGTGACAGCACGGCACACAGGAGCATTCAGTCCAGTTCATTTTAATTGAGTAACAGAAACAAAGCAATTAATGTGTTCAGTTTAGTATCGGCGCAAAAGATACTTAATTTTTTTTCAATCAATTTTTCAATGACATTTCTGAATACACGGGCGGGACCACCGTGGGGCAGTGGGGGCAAGACTATGTGCTTGCCCTCACTAAAATTTCTCAAATTATGAAGGTGTCTATGTTCCAGAGTAGTCATAATATCGAGACCTGCGTTCAAACTAAGTATCTTCCTGTATGAAGACGACCGAACAAACACGAATGACGATTATGTCACTATGTAATTGTGTTCCTTCTTGTCTGTCTGTACACTGAAGATGACCTTTAATAAAGTCGATACGTTTGGAAATAAAAGTTTTTTTTTTGTCATATTATCATGCTTCTATTGATCCTGAAACCATCACGCGAACAGGGCATACTGGATCGGAAAATTGCATCCGTGATCCATCTTCATGTCCCTGAGGTCATCTCAGGTCATGTGAGGTATCCAACAGTTTTTTTACGATAACGTTAGAAATAGACATGCTAGAGGGATGTATATACCTTAGATACATTCAGCCCGACGATGCGAATCGATTTACATGCAACGTGACCTTTTCCGTGATCTTAGCCAGGGGTCGAATTTTGAAGTTGACCTTTCAGGTCAACTTTTAGTTCAATCGACGCATCTCAACGAGAGAAACGCAATGCCAGTAAAATGAATACTTTACAAGCTTGGTGCCAAAACCTTTGCAGGAAAACGTGCTTGGAAAGAACGTCAAATTTTGAGTTTTTGTCCTCCCCCAACCAGTACGTCGCTGACTCGCTAGGGACGAACAGTGGGAAACGTCGGGTAGCTTGGGATTAGCTTTGGTTTGCCAATTGGAACAAAATAGATATATTTTTTACTAGAGTGTGACTGCAGTCATGTTCGGCAGTGGGTCGATCGGCAGCGGTCAGCGCCCGGTGACCGTAGCCCGGAGCGCTGTGACGTCACACGCGGGACGTCACACGGTCAGCGCCCGGTGACCGTAGCCCGGAGCGCTGTCACGTCACACGCCTGACCTAGCGCTCGGGCGGGAGACGGGCCGCCGCGGCTGTGGCCGAGCGAGTGGGCGCAGACTGGAACGGTCTGTGACTTTCTTTCTCGGCGTCATGGCGTCTTTGTTATTAACCGTTCGTCACTGCAATTTAACGTTATATTCCAATGTCCGACCTTTTATTTTCTATGGATACAAACCAGCAGCCGACACTACATTTTCTGGAAAGCCGGTAAAAAGCCCATCTGAGTAGCTGCATGGACGTGTGCTTCGTACTAAGCTGGACGCAGCGTCTGCACAGGTGGCCACATCTGATGACATGTCTGTGAGGGGAGGTGTTACCCGTCAGCAGAGGAGGCAGAAGGTCTGGTGGGACAAACAGCGGAAGGTCTGGCGGCGCGGAACAAGCAGCAGTACATACACTCACTCGGCCACGGCCGCTACCCGTCTGCTAAACGATGCGACGAGGCTGGAAAAACGTGATCGTTCCTCGCGGGGACGGGCATCAGCTCACCGCGCTCCCAATCGCCAGGAGCCCAACCCAGTCTCCGCAAGGGACGGTCACGTTTTTCACAGCCTCGCCGCACCGTGAGGCAGACGGACCGCGGCCGTGGCCGAGCGACTGGTCGCGCTGGATTGGCTTATGACTTTCTTTCTCGGCGTCACTACGTTCTTATGTTATTGTCTCGCATCATTAAACGTTTAACCCTCGCACTTATACGGGGTCGAACGGACCCCCTCGGTTTTCCGTGACTTACTCACGCAAAAAGCGGCTGATCGCGACGAAGCTTTCAGTATCGAGTCAATCAATGCCACACATACCCTCAAAGTTTTATGACGCTGACCCAAATGACCTTTGACCTGTGACCTATTTATCGAGACCATGTTTGGTCGGAATTGCGATTGGGCGTATGTCGGCTCACAATATCCGTGTTTGCAGTTTTTTGTAGTTTTAAGCGTTCAAACATGTGAAATAATGTTGATCCCATGCATTATCCCTCGCCGGACCTATTGGTTTTCTACATACGCGCCGGCCGAGGGGGGGGGGGGGGGTGGGGCGGGTACGACCCCCCCCTCGCCGTTTCGCCCCTGGTGGAGCTAGCGCGTCGCGGAAAAAACGACCGTGTGCGCCGTTACGAGACGCAGAGATTGGTACCCGATTTTAAGGTCCTAGGTCAACCGGTGACCTCTGAGGTCAGGTCAAGTGCCCCAGGGTACGGTTCAGTTTTTGGTGAATAACTTCGCAAAAAACGGCCGCAGAGCCGCGATTTTGGCAGCATCGTATTTGCCTCGCTCAGGCGCGTCGAATGATATACTTTTTGTCCGGGTCAGGTCAACTTAGGGTGTTGACCTCAGGTCAAGGTCAGGTCAGCACCCCCAGGTCACGAAGTTGGTCGAAAGAGGTCATGTCGCATATCATTCGATTCAGCAGGTCTTCCTGAGTCCATTGGTGGCTTTCTCGACTCGCTAGCTCAATTTGATCAAGAGTTATTGACGAAAAACTAATATGACCTTGATGACGTCATAAACGACGTCACGCAAGGTCAACATTACAAAAGTGACGCATCTCACCTTACAAGGAGTGCATCAAATCACGATTCTGTGTGCTTGAGATAGTTGGAGATCGTTCCCGGCGCCAGAATAGCAGTTTTCATTTTTCCCCATTGACTTATAATGGTGAGGTCACGAAAATGACCTGACCTCATATGACCTTTAGGAAAAATCCGAGATATACAAGTTGTGAGACTCATAATGGATACTAGATCCTGCAAGTTTCATTTCCCTGTGACATCTCCTCTGGCAGTGAGGGCGTTGCGAAGTTGCGACATCTGAAGACCGTGCAGAGGTTCACTTATGACGTCATAGGTCAGTGACCTGACCTGACCCAAAAATGCGGTTGGTGTCAAAAGATGCGGCTTGGATCAAAGATCAGGTATGCCAAGTTTCAGCTCTCTACCGCCGGCGTGTTCGGAGCTATCGCGAAAAAAAAAAACCCTATGGGGGGGCGGCACCCGCCCCCCCCCCTCGGCCGGCGAGGGTTATGTAAGGGTCACGTGAAGGCAAGGTCAGGCCATTGACCTTTGATGACCTTGGTTCACTTTTCGAGTTTTATATGTTTCTAGGCTAGTTTTGGAGCTGATTTCAAATTTAGCATCCATTTGAACATTTACGAAGTAGCTTCGGTGCCTTCGTAACATGTTACGAAGCTGTCAGTGGCGGTTGACACCTACTACCGGGTGTTCATTAGCAAATGATATAAAGTACGTCCCCGCTAGAGGCACATAATGAGTATTTTAACATATAAACAGCACACCGTTAGAATGACAACTCTTGGACATTTGACATCACCCACACGAAACTCAGTTGTGACACTTGGTTTGTCTATAGGAGGTGCTCGAAATGCCAGCGCTTCCCCGCGTGGCATGCTCGGCCCGGCGCCGGATGTGCCGCGCCATTTGTCTCAGATGGTCGCCGACCATCCTACGGGCAAAAGTCTTCGGCCACTTATGAGCTGCTTGGAGCCAGAAGGTGAAGTTTAGGAAGGAAAAATCCGGACTGTAGGATGGCCAGTTGCTGGGTCCTTAGGAAGTGGAGAGTCTTGTCATTTTTTCCCAAAATCAACCCAATATCCATTTTTGCAAGTCTTCAGGAGGCCGGGAAATGTTTTTTGGAGTGTGTCGACAAATCGTAACGGCCGTCCTCTCCGCTGACAGCATGGTGTCGAGACTGGAAGCGTGCACCTTCTGGATCAGTCAAGCGGAAACATTGCTCAAATGGGTAATCTGGAGTGCCGAAAAGTGATTTGTGCTACAAACAGAAAGAATACAGTCTCCTAGTCAACAAGAAATCCACAGAAGCTGATTCCATGCAAGAATACGCACGGAGCGAAGGTCAAGGCCGAGCTTGCCGTGCGGAGAAGCGAAGGCACTTTGAGCACCTCTTGTACGCACACCAAGTATCACAGCTGATTTTCGTGTGCGTGATGTCAAACGTCCAAGATTTGTCATTCTAAATACGTGCTGTTTGTATGTTAGAATATATATCACGTGCCTCCGGCTGGGGCTTACTTTATGACATTTGCTAACCCGCGCCCTGGTGGGGTCTGTTTATACCGCGACCTGGTGGGGGGGGGGCTATTTTTTGCCCCCCTCGTATCTCCGAAACTACTGAACGGATCCACAAAATTCAAACGGCGTTCGAAAACCCAGTCAAATTTTTTTGAGGAAATCCAATTTCATTGACCTCAGGGTCACCGATGACGTCACAGGTCAGGTCAAAGATAAAATGTTTTGCCGATCACGGGTCTTCTAGATCTAGGGAATGCGCTATAACATCGAATAAATCGCATTTTATCGAAAATCAGCGATAGGGCGTCAGTTGCCTAGTGCATATGTTACTATTAGAGGTCACTGATAACACCAGGTCAGTTCACAGGCCAGGTCACCAAGGGTCAGCACATGAACCCAATTTTACTAGGGCTGTGTGATGCATGTTTTATGGCCAATTTTTCATTTCGAACTCAAGTCATTGGTGTAGATTATAAGACTATCACGGTTTAGGTCACTTCCTGGTGGAGGGCAGGTCAATGTCAGGTCAAAAAAGGTCAAATTTCAAAGTTGATATTTTTGCATAAAATGGCTATTGATTCGATGCAGCTCGTCACGGCGAGCTAATGGCGGTCTTTTTTGCGCTACGTGGTCTAGAATTGCTAAGATTGAGTTTGAAAATTTAACGTTATCAATTTTGAACAGCCTTTTCGCTATAACTTGGCCGAAAAGAGAGATATCGATCTAAAATTTGGTATGTGAATAGAAGTCGGTAAGGGCTATATTGAAAAGTCTGGAGGGGAGGGGGGCAAAAAATAGCCCCATCCCCACCAGGGCGCGGGCTAATGAGCACCCTGTATGAATACCCTATACTGGTTGACCAGTAGGGTGTTCATACCAGTAGGCAAGACGTCTACTGGTTGACCTGACCTGACCCAATCTAGCCTAAATGCACATAGACATCATTTGCGATCAAAACCAACATGAAATTATTGATCAGTACACCGAAATACCCCATCCAAGATGTATCCAAAAAAGTCCAAGATAAAAAAACTGAAAATTATTATTTAGAATTGAACTACAATTAGCCAACAAGATGAACAAGAGCCACCTCCAACGCAACTTTCCTCTCCTTACCTTTCCGAAGACATCTGCGTCTGATAACATTTTATCTGCTCAGAATATTTATAATAAATTGAAAATGTCTACTCTTTGTTTTTTACACCCTGCCTTAGGGGAAAAACGCGTAACGATTCAAATAAAGTATTTTATCTAGGTCCCACTTCGTCTGATTTGTTTACGCTTCCATTCAAATAAAAAACATGGTTGAAACGCTTTAGGTATCTCCTTGAAGTATGACGTAACTGATGTCAGCTGACAATGGGCAAGGAATAAGTATCCACCAGAGTTTGCTGATTATTTTGTTTGTGAAGTTCTTGGCTTCGGTGGGCGGGTATTTTTGGTCCGCCATTATTTTTCAGCTGACGGGATATTTTTGGGGGATGGGGAAATGGGGGATGGGGATGAATGGACGGGGATGGGGGAACTAGTCTATAAGTGCACACCATTCACACCTGAGAGCCTCAACTCATCACACAGGCTCGTCAGCCAGCGGCGCCCAGCCCGCCTTCCCTGGCCAGTGCAGCGGTGGTCGCGTCTTGGTGGCGCGGCTCCGTGAGAGGCAGATCAGTCTCCGAGCGGGCGCGGGACGCGGCCACACGCACACGGACGGCCACCGTACGGCGCCGCGCGGCCAGCGAGCCCACACAAATGCGCCGGCCGGCCCTATCGAGAATCAATCATACATTTAGCGGCTCCAGGCGCACAGATCGGGATCCAACCGTCTACGGTCGGCCGGGGTGCGCGACGCAGTGAGGCGTGCCAAATAGGGGGGCTAACTTTATGTGGGGGCTAACTTTAAGTCATTCTTTATTGATCACCCTGTAGCAGGGCGGTCATCAGCAGGAAGTCACCAATGGGTTTAAGGGTGACGGTCAATAGGAGGGCAGCAATGGTGAGCAGGACACCTTTGCCCAAGAGGGTGATATCGAACAGCGCCTGAAGGCGCCAGTGGGTATGAGGGCGGCGATCAACAGGAGGGTGCCACTGGTCCCAGTGGGTAGGAGGAAGCACGAGGGCGCCAATAGGTAGGAGGGTCTCGATCAACAATTAACAGGAGGGAGCCATTAGGTAGGGGGGCGCCAATGGGTAGGAGGGTGGCGATCAGCAAGAGGGTATCAGAAGGGAGGAGGGCGGCCATTAAAATTCCACAGAAGGGCGCGATAGGTCGGAGGGCGCCAATAAGTAGGGGGCGCTGACAAGCAGGAGAGCATTAATGGGTAGCGGGCCGGCGACCTACAGGAGGGCGCCTTTGGGTAAGAGGGCGCCGATTTATAGGAGGGCGCCGATAGGTAGGAGTATGCCGATCAAAATGAGCGCGCCAGTGGGTAGAAAGTAGAGTTGCAAAGTTTTCCCCAAAGGCTGCTACCGGCACCGCCCCGCCCCACAAAAATTTTCTGGGATACCGGCATGCTACCACGCCCCAAGCAAAAAAACCGAGGTCCATGTGTTACCCCTACCCTTAGCAATGGAAGTAGCAATGGAATTCTACCACAAAATGTATCTTGCAGTGGCTAATATTGCTGTTACACAATATGAGAGCCTCTTAGTGTCCAAATTTTGAATCCTATGCTGATAATTTTTTTTTTGCACAAAATCAAAAATACCGGCATGCTACCGGCAAGACATGCCAGATACCACGAAAAAACCTGCGGTAGTGAAAAATTACCGGCATGCCGGTAGTGCGGTAGGGAAATTTTGCAACTCTAGTAGAAAGGCAGCGATCAACAGGCTTACATAGATTGGCGACTACCGCTACGATCAGAGCGCTACAGCCTAAAGCGGCTGGAGCGCAGTTTTCCCTATAAACAGATCCTCCCAACAGGCGGCCATGGCTCAGTGCCCCCCCCCCTCCCCCCGCCTACGCCCCAGACTGGGTAGCCGGCAACCGAGCCCGGCGTGGCCACTTGGGCCCTGCACTTGGAGCTCGCGGAGACGGCAGTGCCGCGTCCCATCGGGAGCGGGGGCAGGCATGTGTGCGTGGGTTGGGTTGAGGTAAGGGGGCTGAGAGGTTGGCTTAGAGCCCCCCCCCCCCCGAGGTCGGCTTGGGGCCTTCGGAGGCCGGGATGAAATGTATTGAGCTGACCCAGGGTGGGCCTCTCAGCGAACCCCTTGGGCCCCTAAGTGCCCGTCAGGGACGGATACATGTGGAAATGGAGAGAAATGTGTCCGATAGAAATACATATAGGTAGGTACTCTGAGTTTGTCTGTATCGAGTGACCGTCAGCCTAGACGGAGAAGTGTTAGTAAGATTCAGCATAAGTTGGTTCAGACAAGGTCAGGACGATGTCGGAAGTGTTATTTCTATTATTAAACCTTTGTTCTTCGTTACAAAATAGGCAAATCTTTCACTCAACTAAGACGGAATACATATTTTTTTGCATTTTTCGTTTTTTTCTCTCATCGTTGAGAAGGCTAAAGGGTGAAAAATAAGTGGCCTAAAACCGGTGAGAAAACTAGAATCCTGTGTATCCTACGTCAATCTCCATCATGGATGACACCGGCAAATGTCAGGTGTGCCCCCCCCCCCCCGCCTGAAAGTAGTTCCCGCGCCACTGCATAAGTGTGGCGCATCAAAGCTAGGGGAGAGCCCTTTGTTGACCCTAGAAGCTCACAACCAGTTTACAAATTTGTAGCCATTTTGTATTGTTATTAGGACAGATACTTTGTTTAGGAAAAACATTTATTTAATTTGGAATAACATAATCAATCTTTTGCTAGCATCCTGTTTGAAATATTTCTGCTACCCTAAAAATTTTAATGAAACGACTGACAATTATTTTACAGTTAGGTTCATAGGGCTTGAGTGGTCAGGCCACCTAATAGGGCGTCTCGAAGAGTTTTCCCCTAAAAAATACATAGAACGCAAGTCACTTAGGAAACACTTGGGAACGGAAAACGAGCCGGAGCGTGCTGCCGGTACTCACTCGGTTTCGTTGTTCTCGAAGACCACCTCCCCCTGGCAGTGTTCGTAGTCCTTTCCGGGCTTGGCGGTGCCCTCGAGGGTGACATAGGGCACAGCCACGCGGCCGCGCGCGCCCGACCATCGGCAGACGCGCAGTGAGTAGGTGCCCACGGACTCTACGATCTCCACGTCCTTCTCGGCCACGGAGAACACGCCGCCGTGGTCATCGTCCAGAATCATCACCGTGGCGACGAACGGCGCCACCAGCCTCAGCTCGGGCACCGAGTGCCGGCGCACGGCGCTGCCGTTCGTCTGGCCCACCGGCGCGCCGTCTCGACTGGCCAGACGCAGGCCGCTCAGCTTTACGTAAAAGTGCTCGTCCTCCTCGAACAGATCGTCGTCTATGACCGATACACCGATCGTCTGAACACTCTCTCCGGGCCCGAAGAAGAGGGTGCCGGCGACGGCCACGTAGTCACTGCCGGCGCTGGCCGAGCCGTCCTCTGTGCGGTAGTCGACCAGCACGCACTGGTTCGGGTCGCCGCCCTCGCGACGCACTGTCAGCGCCAGCTCCCCGACGCTCTCCATCACAGTGTAGTGGCCCGGGTCGAAGAACACGTGGATGGCGTGCTGGCTGTCGTCCATCTTGACGTCATCGAGGTCGACAGTGCTGGCACGCCGTTCCGCCTGCAGCGCGCGCCGCATCAGATTCCCGCCTCCGGTGAGTTTGCGCGTGGCCTGGATTCGGTAGAAGGCGCGCGACTTGGGCCCCCTGTTGAGAACCTCCTCGCGTGCCATCAGCTCGAGCTGCTCCATCTCGAGGCTGGGGTGCAGCTGACGCAGCTTGCGCAGGATCCGAATGTACTCGCGTCGGTTTTCCTCGAACTCGCGCACCGCCTCGTCCACCTGCTCCTCGTCGAGCTGTTTGAGCTCGCCGCCCAACGGCCCGTGGCTGGGCCTGCTCAGCTCCAAACCTTCGCTCTCCACGATGACGCCACGCTTGTTGACACGGTAGTCCTTCTTCATGTACTTGTAGAAGAGCATGCGCCGGTCGGCGATGTAGGCGGTGGTCACGGTAGCCGGGAAGAAGAGCAGCGTCAGCAGGGCCTCCCACACGTCCACCACTCCGGGCGTGATCACCGCCAGGATCAGGTACAGCCACACGTAGGCGAAGATGGACCACGTAGCCGTCACGAAGAACACGCGCAGGTGTTTGATCTTGCGCACCTCCCCGTCGGGGATGACATACACACAAATGGCGATGATGACAAACAGGTTGAAAGCGGCGCTGCCCACAATAGTACCCGGCCCCAGCGCGCCCGCATCAAAGTTCTTGGCGTATATTTCAATAATGGAGAGGAGGATCTCGGGGGCCGACGAGCCCAGAGCCATCAGCGTCAGGTTGGCCACCGTCTCGTTCCAGACTCGCACAACAACAATCTGCGTCTCGCCGTTGGCCTTCTTGACGGTGACCTCTTTCTCCTTGGAGGTGATGACCTCGATGGAGGCCATGAAGCGGTCGGCTACGATCGACACGCCAATAAAAAGGTAGATGAGTGAGAGAAAGTAGACGAGCGCGCGCGCCAGCACATCTCCAGTGCTGAGGCTGTGCTGCGGCTCCCAGACGGGCAGCAGGAGGCCCGGCACGCAGCGCTGGGTGGTGTTGTCGGCCCGCGCCGTCACGGCCGCCATCAGCAGCAGCAGCAACAGCAGCGCCGGCGGCATGGCGGCGGTCGCGCTACCGCTCCATCACCGGCTCCACCACCACCTCGGCACCGAGCTCTCGCGGCGGTCCGACGCCCCACCACCTCTCCCGTCGGCGCACCAGGCCGCACTGCAGTGCAGTCGCCGCCGACACGCCCCGGCCCGAGCGCCAGTGACGTCACACACACATACACTTACACACACACATACATACATACACACCGAGCGCTGCGCTGGCGTGACGTCAGTCGCGTGACGTCAGTCGCAAGGCAGACCGGCTGGAATGCTGGTGTCCACTGCCGGTGTCCACTGCGGTGTCCCCTACGGCCGGTGTCCCTACGGTGCGTACGGAACCCCTAACCACGGCCAGTAAACACGCCGCTTAGGTGAAGAAGATGAGCCGAGACCTGCAGACAGACAACAAGGGCTTCAGCGACATGTCGGATAGCCCCCCCCCCCCTCCCCCACCTACACCCCCCGAACTTACACATGCATACTGCATGCACAAATTAGGTACAGCTAACGTTTTAAATACAGTTCTTTAGCGATTACCTACCAGTGGCGTAGCCAGAGAAAGTCAGAGGGTCAGCTACCCCCACCCCCCACCCCTGAAATATTTGTCAGGGGCCCATCGTAGTTGAGTCAAACATCCTTTAAAAATAAAATTCATCAGCTACCAGGGATTCCCAAATCCCCGCCTACTACAAGATTTGCTCGAAGACTGGAGACATTATATGTAAAATGTTACAGCAATGCACAATTACGCATGCATAATTCCATGTGACAGAATAGGGGTTTGTTGATCACCGTTGACAAATATTCGAGCATGTCGTCTTTTCGACCAGGGGCGTCGCCACGGTCCCCAAACTTGTACGGATACATTCCGTAGGCCATCACACTCGTCAAAGGCGTTAACTTATCCAACGATATTGTAATTTACATGTCTCCGAAACATATTGCCTTTTGCATGTTGTACCCAAAGGGAAATCAAATTTAGAAGAAAATAGTCAAAATAAACGACATAAGGCTGTTATTAAAATAAAGTTAACTGAGAAAATATGCAGGCGCCCCTGAAACAGGGGTTCGACGCCTAAAAATCGCTTATTTACTTATGCCTGGATCTGAGTGTGTTGAATGACGTAACCCGCGCCTGACAGGAACTGTTTTTGTCACACATCTTTACGCTTTTTCTGCACATGTTGTTAGAAGTTTCAGACCCCGATCGCTCGAGGTCAGGTCACAAGTCACGTCAAATGACATTTCCACGGGAACAATGATGAATTGCTCGCCATGGTTACGTCGACTGAATGATCGCTTTTCGCTTGCAATTTTCAGCGATTAATGATAGCAAAAGTAACCTAAGTAGGCATATAAAACATTATCTTGGGATTATAATATCGGTGACGTAGGTCCTAGGATTTGAAGTTTGAACTGCGCTTCTTTTGGACGAAATGCATAATAACACTAACACATCGGGGAACATGTAAACATGGCACAGCCACAATTAATCGAAAAATGCACCCGTGACCTCATTTATGCCTCTGAGATCAGCTCAGGTCAAAAATGCTTTTCAAGTTTTTTACAGTAACTATAGACACATATGCTAAAGCGATGAAAATAATTCCACGATGTGTTCAGCTCAGCGATAGAATCGCCTGATGTTCATCATGACCTTATCCGGCCAGGTCAAGAGTCCAGACTTTGGGCCTTGGCTTTATGTCAAAGTTTTAACCCTCGCATGTGTAGGGGGGTTGGATGGACCCCCCATGGTTTTTCGCGAATAACTCGCGTAAAAAGCGGCCGATCGCGACGACACTTTCAGCACCCTCGCATTAATCAATTTTAAACCTACCCTGAAACTTTCATGACCCTGACCCAAATGACCTTTGACCTGTGACCCCTTTTTCGAGACCATGTTTGGCCGGAATCGCGATTCCGCGTATGTCAGCTCGCATTAAGTCGCGTGTTTGCAAGCTTTTCGTGGTTTCAAACGTTCAAACATGTGATTTGATGTTGCTCCCATGCATTAGGGTAGGTGTCAAGGTCATCTGAAGGTCAGGTCAGGTCATTGACCTTTGGTGACCTCGGTTCACTTTTTCGAGTTTTACATGTTTCTAGGCTAGTTTTTGGAGCTGAATTCGAACTTAGCAACCATTTGAACATAAAGTAGTTTTGGTGACTTCGTAACATGTTACGAAGCTGTCAGAGGCGGTTGACACGTACTACGAATACCCATCACGACGCCTACTGTTTGACCTGACCTGACCTGACCCGACCTGGTCTAAATGCTTAAAGACATCATCTGTGATCAAAACTAACACGATATTCGTGATCAGCACCCAGAAAAACCCCTTGGCAGCCACACTTAACGACTTTCTAACAGGTCCCGATTTTCCCGACTTTGGGTCATTCACCTGACCTGGAAGGTCAACCAATGACCTAGGACCTTAAAATTGGGTATCATCGGCTTCCTCTCGTCACGGGCAACACGCTCGTTGTTTCCGCGAAGCTCTAGCTCGATCAGGGGCCAGACGACAAGGGGGGTCCAACCGACCCCCCCCCCCACACACACATTAGAAGCTGGCAAACGCCGCACACATGCGAGGGCTTAAATTACTTTCTGACGTCAAATTAAAGGGACCCTTCCACCTTCAAAAAATAAATGAATTGGCATGAAAGTGATGTTGCTCGATTCAGAAAGAGTGAAAACGAATCTCTACCAAATTTCACCGAAAAAATATTCGCCGGTTTTTAAGATATTTTACTTTTACTTTATTTACTTTTTCGAATCTCCGCTGTTTCTAGCGACTTTATTTGGAAGCAGTTTGGCAGCTGAAAGTGCGGCACTTGTTGCGCACTTTCTATTTCTAAGGGACTATCCCACCTTTAACATGGGGTTTGAGTTGAGATAGCCAAGTCTGCGGCGAGGTTCAGAAACCACTATCTATCTAGGTTGCAACCCCCGCGGCCTCTTCGTGTTGAAGAAATTCGTTCCCTTCATTTGAAAATGGGCCTTGCACAAGGCCCTATCTTCAACATGGAGCGACCGTTAGTGTGACGTCACCTCGTTTAGTCATTCTGATTTAAATGGGTTTGTTCGTTGAAAAATCGCTTAAAACTTGGTCTGAACTTTGTTGTGGTGCCTACAGAGTAAAAAGAATCAGCTTTATGACAGTAATGTGGCCTGGGGAAGGAGGTAATTTTGGGCTGTGACGTCACATATTTGAAAGTTTGTGTTTGGAATATGGGAAGCCTAAGATGTTTAATGAAAAATAAATGCCAGAACCGTGTTCCTGGTCATCCAATCTATAAAGTCGGGCACAATTTTACTGGTTTTAACAACATTTTAGAAGGTGGGATAGTTCCTTTAACCCGCGCGGGGCTGGGGCCTCCAGCCGAACGCGCGGGGCTGGGGGGGGGGGTAAATTTTACCCCCCCCCTGTTATCTCCCGAACTAATGGTCCGTTTGGAAAATTCAAACGCCAATCGAAAGCTCTCATCACGAACTACTAAAAACATGTACTTAATTTAAAGTTTGAGGTCAAGGTCAAGGTCAGGTCAAGGGTACAAATTGCAAGTTTCTACAGTATCGGCCTTGCACCGTAGTTGCCGAAGAATGGAGTCATGGACTGAGACTGATCGCCCAAAACGTGTTCTTAGGCTACCAAGACAATATTCGTTGCATACAATATCATTCAGAGGTCAAGGTCAAGGTCAGGTCAGGTCAGGTCAGGTCACCAAAAAACAAAATATAGAAAAGGGCATGTGCGACACATGTTTTATGGGTCATTTTACTCATAGAATTCAATAGGCACACTCAATAAGTGATATGGACCACCTCTGGATGAATTTCAGGTCGAGGTCAGGTCAAGGTCAGGTCAAGTGAGGTCAAATTTTGAAGTTGGTTGTTAAGGCCTAAAAAGGTGTCTATCTGATGCAGTATTTCACGGCGAATCGAATGGTGCTATTTTTGTTTCCGTACGAGGTCTAGAACTTCCAAAAAAGTCATTTTTCAAAACATTTGTGTGTCGTGACGTCATAAAATTTTGAATAACTCCCACATTTTTGAACCGATTCTTCTAAAATTTGGTATGTAGGTGCACATAGACCACTTCTCTGACATATATTCCGTTTTTTTCGATAGACTCAAAATTTTGGATTTTATAATGATTTTCCCAAAAAAGTCAGTTTTTTGAAAAAATTTAGGCCAAAATCCAAAATTTTCAAAAAACCGAGATAGCCATTTGATAGACAAAATAAAATTACGTATAACCTTTTTTGTTACGTCTTGATTCCTTTAAAAATGAAGATGTTAGCGGCGTTTGAACTTTTGCCGTTTTTGAGGCGAAAATGGCGAACATGACGTCACTAAAACGTCAATTTCTCAAAAATTTTCCGACGGATTTCGCTCAGATTTTCAGGGAACGTGTCAAATTGATGTAAGAAAAGGTACTGAAAGTTTGGCGGCGCTGCGCGCCGCCGTTTTTGAGATATCGCAAAAATTCGCGAGGGGGGTAAAATTTACCCCCCAGCCCCGCGCGGGTTAACCCGCGCCGGGCCGGTGCTCCAAGACTTCCGCGCCGGGCCGGGTGGGGGTGTCTTCCGCGCCGCGCCGGGCCGGACTCCAAGTTAGAAGGGGGGGTGAACACCCCCCTTCCAGCTCGGCTTCTGGGCCACGTAGCGACAACGCGGTAAGCGGCAATCGAAAGAACGCCCAAAATAAGGACGAAAACACTTCAGTCGTTTTTTGGGTCAAGTCAAAGGTCAGGCCACCAGAGGTCACCAAAGGTAAAATGTTGGCTATTTCAACATTTTGGAAACTGCCAACGGCTAACTCGGGAACCGAAAGAGCTACAGCGCGGCGCCGCGGAAAAGCGCATTCAATAGCTCTTTTAACGTTTTTTCGCCAACATGTCCTCAGATTTGACCTCAGGTCAACGGTTTAGCCTCCAGAGGGCAAAAACTCCAAAAATAGCGTAGTCGCGGCGAACGTCGCCCAGTCGTCGTTTACGCATTACGATGCGCTCTCAGAATGTCTGTGCAGGGCGCTAACTAAAAACAAAACAGCGAGGCGTGCCTTGACTAGGGACGGCCTTTTGCTGACGAAGCAGGCTGCTCGCAGCATTTTGGCTTTTTTATGTAAAGGTGCTAAGTTCTCCATATTGTTTATGTACACAGTCACACCAATACGTACGCACCAATGTATCCTGTGTCAGCCTGGCCGACGAAGAAATCGAGGACATGCAAACAGCCGAGTGACCAAACCGGTTGTCCAGTAGCGGTTGTCAGGAAGCTGAAGTGGCTGAAAGCTATCCTGTAACGCCACCTTATGCTTCGATGTTTTTTAACTTCATTTCCAACGCTAAGCGAACCGTACACATAAAACCTAAGCCGAGAGG